AATGCATTTAGAATTTTTTAGTTACACTCTGAAAATTCTATGTGACACACAATATTCTGAATGTTCTGTACAATTGTGAGTGTAGGGGAGAGTTAAGAGTGCCACTCAGAGAATTTCTGAGTGACTCTTGCACTCTGACCATGACACTCTAAAAATTTGTGAGTGCACATGTGAACTCTGAAATCGTCGGTCCGCTAGAGTTTGAAAATTGAGAGTGCCCTTTCCTATGTGACGTCTCAGATTGTCGTGAAAACTGGTTTCGAGTTCGCATACAACTATACACTTATAACTGTAATACGAGAAAACTAAGTTCATATTCGGAATCCACGTTCAAAATTACTTCTGAGACTCCCTTGCCTTACCTTTTGAAAAACAATTTTTTGTCACGAAATTCCAAAATACGAGATAGGACGAAACGTACCACAAATTCGTTCTGACCCCTAAAATATTGTTCCCTGTCGTTCCTTAACCATATGTAGTAGGGAGTATGTTGTTTGAAATTGCACTCACTCTGATTAAGTCACTCTCAGAGGTGTTCTGAGTTCAGAAGTACTCAGAAATTTGCACTCTCGGATCCGCGAAATTTGTGTGTAACTGCACTCAGACATTTTGCACTCTAAAACTTGAGCATTTTCAGTAGTGTTGAAAAATGTTCCCCCGCCCCATGCTCCATCGCCACGCTACCGCGGGGGTCTCGGGCCCCAGGTTCGATCACCACCTACTACCGCCTCGACCCCCCGACCTCCTCTAACAGGAGCCACCCTGAGTGATTGGAACAGATCCATGCCTTCCTCCGACCGCATCCAGGGCAAATTCAGTCTTGACGCAAGCAGCTCAAACAGGAAACTGAAAAGCAACTCGCTTCCCCGGTGTCGAACCCTCGACCCCGGGGACGACTATCCGAGACGCTCTCCACTGGGCCAAAGCACATGGCTGGATGCGGCGGGCAGCGCACCGCTCTGGTTCACTCGACAGTCGCCGCCAGCCGGCTGGAATTGGCGAGCAAACCAGAGCGGTGCGCTGCCGGCCACCTGGTGAGCGTATCGGGCAGCCTCAAAGTCGGGGGGTTCGACACCGGGCGGGCGAGATGCTTTAAAGTTTCTTCCTTTGTTCTACTCCGTCCAAGACTGAATTTGCCCTGGATGCGATCGGAGGAAGGCCAAGGATTTGTTCATATCTCTTTAGATTAGACCGGATGATTCTCTGCGCCGTTTCTCACAGGAAGGTGGGCCGGGCCGAGGCGGCGATCGAGCCTGACGCCCAACCCAAGACTCGCCCGCCGTGGCCTCTGGCGTTAGCACCTGCGACCCTTCATATGCGACCCTTTATGCGACGCGG